CTAAATATATATTTTAAAATGCTTACCTGGTCATGTCACTTTGATTGATAACATTAGCAGAAAAAAATCTTAAAGTTTTAAAAACTTCTTTTAAAGACTTTTAACTTGCCTGTGTGCAGAGTGATAATTCTTTGGTATTTTTTAGTAAGGAGCCAACAGTTTTACTATACTGTGCTTAAGATGAAAGCACATGTACATTTAAAATATATCAGATCCAAAAGCCTGCATATAAATATGATTCTGCACAGTTCAAACCTGTGTTGTTTAGAGGTCAACTATGTAGTTAAAACGCAAGTATAGTAGCATTCCGTTTATACTCTTCTATCTCTTGTTCATTGTGCTTATTAGAGAACATTCCATATAGTTAAATATAGAAAGTTACATCAATATTGTCTGTAATATGGTGGTACCATGATTTATTTTACCTGTTTGCTATTAAGGGATATTTAAGTAGTTTCCCTTATTTTGATTTTATAGTGCTGTGCTATGACTGTGACTACGAAGTCAGTCATGTCTGACTCTTTGTGACCCCATGGACTACATAGCCCACCAGGCTCCTCTGTCCATGGAATTTTCTAGGCAAGAATACTAGAGTGGGTTGCCATTCCCTTCTTCAGGGGATTTTCCTGATCCACAGATCAAACCTATGTCCTGCATCGTTTATTGTCTTGTCTTTCCTTCTAGAATATAAGCCCGACAAGGGCATCGACTTTGTATTTTTCTTGTTCACTGTTATACAGAGTATCCTTAATACATACATTATCTGACAGGAGTTGGCCAAATACCTAGTTATGGAGTTTTCAGATCAAAAAGTATATTTTCATTACATTGCAATATATATATAAAGAGAATATGAAATGAGTAATAATAAAATGAACCACCAATGCACCTACCACCCAGAATAAGGACTGGAATATTATTAGAAGCTAGTTGTTTGTCCCTCCCTGATATCATCATTTCCTCTTCCTCTTAACACTATCTTGATTTTTTTTTTAATATTCTTTATAGTTTTACCTCCAATATATCTAGTCCTAAAGGATGTATTTAGTTCTGTGAAACATAAGCACAGAGAAACTTGATGGATTAAGAAAAAAGGGAGTATGGTCTTGTTAGGCAAAGGGTCACAGAAGAATGCAAGCTAAAGAAGGTATACTGTTATCTCTTTAGTAAGAAGTGAAAGTATTAGTCACTCAGTCGTGTCTGACTCTTTGCAACCCCATGGACTGTAGCCTGCCAGGCTTCTCTGTCCATGGAATTCTCCAGGCAAGAATACTGGGGTGGGTTGCCATTTCCTTCTACAGGGGATCTTCCCAACCCAGGGATCAAACCCAGGTCTCCTGCATTGCAGGCAAGTCCTTTACTGTCTGGAGCCACCAGGAAATCCCAAAAGATGTATTATAAAGCCTCATTGAAGGTTAATGGGAAAGTTCTCATGTTTAGGTCTTGGCACAGTGAAGACATATCTTAGAGCTATGATGTTGACAAGATGCTGAAATACTCAACAGAATAGGCTTTTCTTTTTCTGATCTTTTCATTCAAAATGAAATTTCTTCTCTGAGATGATAGGACTTGAAGGTGAGAGTAGAAACTTGATAGTCTGGGTAGAGATAAAGATTCTGGGCCCAGTTCACTTTTGCATTCCTTTCTTAGAGAAGGTATTGTGAAGGTAGCAGAGATTTTGGTCTCTTGGCCCTCAGGAATACATTTTTTAGTCACACTGATCCTATCGATTGTTTTCCACATCTGACTCCCAGTAGTTGGCTTTCCTTTATCATCCTCCTTGTAATTCTTTGTCTTTCTCATGTGTTGACTATTCTGTTTTCAATATCCCATACCTTCCTTATTGGTTCACTTTTTTTTTATTTGACTGGAATGTAGTGCAAATTGTCCAGTAACTTCTTGAGAGATTCTTTAAATGATCAAAAATATATTTCTGATACTTTAAATGGTAACTTGGCTGAGTATAGAATTCTAGGTCAGAAATAATCTTGTTTCAGAATTTGAGAGATATTAATGAACTTCATGGTTTTGTTGCTGTTTCAAATTTTGAAGCCATTTTGATTTCTGGTAGCTTTTACACATCCTGTTAATATTTTTTCCCGGTTTCCAGGGCTTATTGAACCTTCTTGTGCCTGTTTTACAATAGTATGCCTGAGTATGGATCTATTTTCAACATCTGTAATGGGTACTTTATAGTCAGAGGTCCCTTTTAGTTTGACAACTTGTATCTTTTAGTTTGGGGAAATTTTCTTTAATTACTGATTTTCTGTGTCCTATTTTATCATTTCTTTCTAGAAATTCTTTACATGTTTCATCTCTTGGACTATTTCTAATTTATTTATCTTTTCTTTCCTATGTTTCATTTCTTTGAGTCTTAGCTCTGAGATATGTTCTCAACTTTATTTTGCAGTTTTTTTGAGTTTTGCAGTGGTGCTTTTAATACTTAACATTTTTTTTTTTTTTTTTTCGGTCCTCAGGATACTCCTGTTATCTTAAAGTATTTTTTTGAGAATATTGATGTGTTTTCCCTTAATCGTTGGATCTTTAAAAATCCAAAGTGACAGTGTGTGCATTTTAATCAGAGTGCTTAGCTAATTACCTAATTATTTTCTGTTAACCTTATCTCATCTTTTACCTTATATATATATACTATTCTGGCATTCTTCATTCCTTTTGTGTAGATTGAGAAATTTCCATTTATCTTTTTTCTTCTTTCTAATTTCGCTTAAAAATGTTTATATAGCAGATCTAGTGATGAATTTTTTCAAGCTTTTATTGTTTGAATAAAAAGTTTGTTTTGCCTTCATTTTTGAAAGAAATTTTCACTGGATATAGATTTCTAGGTAAAGAAATTATTTCTTTTCAGAACTTTGTGAAAAATTTCCAATTATTATTTGGCTTGCAGAATTTGTAACTGAAAGTCTCTCATTTTTCTTATCTTTTATCTTTTATATACAGTATGTCTTTCTAACTGTGCTTGGTTTTAAATATACTTCTTTAACATTGATTTTCAGCAGTATGATTATTAATGTGCCTTGTTGTATTTATGCAGTTTGAATTTACTTCAGCTTCTTAGGCCTGTGTATTTGTAACATTTATCAAATTTGAAAAAGATTAGCAATTATATGTTTTTAAGAAAAATTTCCCCCTTAGTCTCACCATAATTTCTGGACCTCTGATGAAATTTAGCAGTGTTAGTGCCTCATAGACCACTGAGGCGCTGTTCTTTTCATTTTTCCTTTCCCTTTTCTTGTTCTTTTCGTTCTCTTTTACCTCTTACTTCACTCTTCTCTTTTCCTTCTTTGTCAGGTGTTGATCTTGTTACTCTGCCAGATCAGTGTAAATAAAATTATAGATGATAATTTTGTGTCTGCTTTAGGATTTATCTTTTTCAGATCTTGATGGTTACTGTAAGTTCATTTGATTGCCAGCTTGCAAACCTGTATTATCTATTCCCTTTTTTCTCTGGCAGATAGTTGTAGAATTGTAAAAGTTTACTTCATTGCAGTTCCAGAGGCTAAAAAGTAGATGAGTGTTGTTTAACATAGCATCATAACCTAAGAATTTTTAAGATTTCCTTTTCTTGTTCCTTCCTTGTTTGTTGTTTTCAATTCGTTGCATTAAGATATTGAATTTTTAAAAGATAGCAACTTTTTTCAGAACTGTTAAGGAATAAGCAATTAGGTTAAAAATCCTCTCAAAAGTAGTAGAAGATAGAAAGCTGCTCAGTTAACTCTAAAAACCAATTTACCAATTATAATTAAAGGGAGTACACAATGTATAAGCCTAACTCACATGTCAGGTAGAAACCTGAATCCTAAATAAAGTACTAGCCATCTTGGCTGTATTTTGGAGCAAAGTCATGCATGCTTAGGGTATTTAGAAGGAAACAGGAAGCAAGTCAACTCTATATTGTCTTACAAATCCAACACAACTAAGGATATTTTATCAACTGTTGTAAAAAGATCATTATAGATTGTATTAGATTATCTCAATAACATAGAAATTTAATAAAAATCTACCAAAGTATTGAAGGTTTAGTATAGAATTTCTGTTCCATGTAGAGTAGCTCGGGTTTTTCTTGAGGATTTACTTTCTGCTAAATAACTGATTTAGATAAAACAGTATCAGAAGAAGGAACTCAGTGATAATTTGCGGGTAATATAATGATGAGTAGGAAGCTAAAGATATCAAGTACTTGGTAACAATTTTTTAAAACATTATTTAGGGTGCTGTTTTTTTTTTTTTTTTTTTTTTTTGGTCATGTGGCTTGTGGAATGTCTCCAAACAGAAATTGAACCCAGGGCCACAGCAGTGAAAGCACTGGATGCTAGCCACTAAAGTCCTTAGTGGGTACTCTTCATTACTGTGTTTGTGTAATATATGAGAATAATACTTTGTGAGTATATGAATGAACACCTGAATAAGTGGTTATACCTAGCATTTCTGTGTGCAAAATATGGTAGAGATGCCAAATTAATTTCTTTCTTAATATATTTTACCAAAATCTGATTGAAGTTTTACTTTAAATAGGATGAAACTACTCCAAATAATAAACTGTGTGAAGAAACAAAACAATATCTATTGTAAGTTCTGAGAGGTTAAAAAGATAATAGATGAATTTTAATATTAGCTAATATACATTTAAAAACTACAACATTATGATCTCTTGAAGAGTTGTGAAGTAAATCACAATAGGTAACAAAGAAATAGTCTTCAGGCAGAAAGAAAAACCCTGTTTCTTTCTAATAATCATCATGAATTTAAAGTCTTTTTTTACACACACGTGTGTTTGCACACACCCAATAAACTACAGGAATATTCAAAAGATACAGGGTTGAATATTCATCAAACCACTGGGAGGACCAAGGTTTCTAGGTTTAGAAATGGCAAGAAGGGTAAGAATCATAGATTTAGCTCCACAACAATTAGCAGTTTTGCTGCACAGCAGTTATACTTAAGGAAAATAATTGAAATGGATCTTTTTGTTGTTGTTTTTGTTTTAGCAAGTAAAATTTTATTAAACATGTAGTTTCATCATACCTCTAATTCAGAATGACAAGTCATGTTACTAGCAAAAATATTGATGATCCATCAAGAGTTACAGTGCATTTCTCTCCTAAGTATTAGGTCACAATACCATTATGAAGGCTTCAAAAGGAAAATTCTCTCATGGGCTGAATTCTAGATTCCGTATTTTTCTATTAGTTCTTTTGCTTTAGAAATATAGGCACTCATGGCATCTTCCTTTGATAATCCTTTTTGAAGGTTCCAGGCTTCCCACTTAGCCTTTCCTTTCAGATCTAACAGTGCTGGACACTCAATATCTATGTCTCCAGTTACAGACTGTTTGTAGAGTCCATAGATCTCTTTTAGTTCCTCATCATCTGGCCTGGTTTTCGGCTTCCTCACGTCTTTGGCCGCCTTGTCAAAATCAGCCTGCAGGGACATGGCGGCTAAACCTAGACGATGCCCGTCTCTAAGCGCCGGGTTCCCGGGACCCCGCGCCCAGGAACTCCTTTGAAATGGATCTTACTAGAGGAACCCATTTTCCTCACCAGAAATATTTTGATAGAATTTTCTTGAGTGGAAGGAAAATGTGTTTTTAAAATGTTGTATGTCATTATGGAAAGCAGTAGTCCTGCTTCACTCATTACTGAAAGTAGTTGTTTTTGTGCCTATCCAATGGAATTTTCCTACATTAAGTTAATAAAATTTAACAATACTTAAGTTTATTCATCAGCTCTTTCATCATTTTACTTAATTTTCTTCTGTCAAGCATTTTCTTTAAATTTCTTTCATGGATTAAACAGTAATTTGAATACCTGCTGTTCTAATGTTGGGAATACATATGTGCCTTGTGGAACTGTTTTTTTTTTTTTAATGAGAGACAACTTTAATATCATATCAGATACTAATAAGTGCTATGAAGAATGATAAAGCAGAGTAAGGGGTTAAGAGTGAGATGCAGCTCTTTAGATTTAGGATGAAGGCCTTTTAGAGCTCACATTTGGTGAAAAACTTGAATTATGGAAATGATCCATATGAATTTCTGGGGTGGAGCATCTTAGACCTGAGATAGGAACATACCAGTGCTTTAAAGAAAGAACATGCTTGGGCAAATAAAGCATATTTTGGTACGGATGATGGTGGGAAATGAAGATGTAGGCAGCAAAGAGGACTTATGCATTCTAGAAATGAATTGCCTCAATCTATTGAGGTCATTGAATTTACTGTAATGTAGAATGTTGTAGCTCATCTTTTTTCATTTCATGGCAGAACTTTATACTGTCCTATATTCTATTTTATTTTGTTTTGATGGGTAATAATCATGAGGAGAGAACTGGATCATTTTAAATACATGCTGATTACTTGTGAACTAAATCATTAATGAATCTGAGTCTCACATATTGCTGAGGGGAAATGCTGTAGGTTCTCAGAGAGCTCTGTAGTGTTTTTTTTATTGTAAATTTTTCATATTATTAAGCAAGCAGAAATTGATCTAATTAGACTGGTGCTAAAGGAGGATTTTCTTAGAATTTCTAACTGCCTAAGGCTAACCTCGGACAAGCAAATTATGCAGGAAGCATGCTTAGCGCCATTTCCACTTTGCTCGAGAATTATATTTAAGCTTAATATCCAGTGGAATTAATTGCTATAACCATGTATTCATGTTGGCAGATAAATTAACTCTTACAAAAAGTTGACTTTCATTTTCTGCTGTTTTTAAGGAGGCCTTATGGGACCTGTCAGGATGATTTCTTCTGGACATGAATTAACAACAGATTATGATGAAAAAGCACTTCATGAGCTTGGTTTTAAGGATATGCAGGTAAACATAAATGTGGTTTGAGTTTTAATCATCTTTTGACTTACAGTCAGTAGTTGTTTAGTTGTAGTACAAAATCAGTTCTTAACTGCTTTTGTTAAAATTGTAAGGGGAGTTATTTTCTACATCACAGATTTATTAAACCAAAAACTTACATGTCTAACTCTATGTTGATTTCCCCCCCCCCTCCCCTGTTGCTCCTGTTTTTATAGATGGTATTTGTATCTTTGGGTGCACCACGGAGAGAACGGAAAGGGGAAGGTGTTCAGCTGCCAGCATCTTGCCTACCACCCCCTCAAAAGGACAACATTCCAATGCTTTTGCTCTTACAAGAACCTCATTTAACTACTCTTTTTGATTTGTTAGAGATGCTTGCATCATTTAAACCACCCTCAGGAAAAATGGCAGTCGAAGATAGTGAGGTGACTATATCATTTTATTTTCACAAAGTCTTGTTTTGTCTTTGTTGAGTGGAAAATAATTTGCTCAGTAATCTCTTAAATATCAATAAAACCAAGGAATCCATTTATTGATTCATTATGTATTTAAGTGCCTAATATCCCAGGCGTGCTGTTTTAAGTACTGTTATACAAGGATAAAAATAGACACAGTTTCAGCCTTCATTGAATCCAGTGGGGAGGACAGATAATTGCCATGCCTAACAGTTTCAAGTAAACTAACAGATAAACAGTTTTAGGTAGACATAGTTGCCATGACTTGACATTAAGAGACTGGTGATAGACAAAGACCCATGAAATTAAAAGATGGCTTGCTCCTTGGAAGAAAAGCTATGACAAACTAGTTAGCACATTAAAAAGCAGAGACATCACTTTGCCAACAAAGGTCCATATAGTCAAAGTTACAGTTTTTCCAGTTAGTCATGTATGGGTGTGAGAGTTGGACCATAAAGAAAGCTGAGCACTGAAGACTTCCTTCTTTTGAACTGTGGTGCTGCAGAAGAGTCTTGAGAGTCCCTCAAACAGCAAGGAGATCAAACCAGTCAATCCTAAAGGAAATGAACCCTGAATATTCGTTGGAAGGACTGATGCTGAAGCTCCGGTACTTTGGCCACCTGATATGAAGAGCTGACTGATTGGAAAAGACCCTGATGCTGGGAAAGATTGGGGGCAGGAGGAGAAGGGGGCAACTGAGGATGAGGTGGTTGGATGACATCACTGCCTCAATGGACATGAGTTTTGGCAGACTCTGGAGGATTGTGGAGGACGAGGAAGCCTGGTTTGCTCTAGCCCACGGGGTCGCAAAAAGTCTGATACAACTGAGCAACTGAACAACAACAACATTTATATGTTATTAATGTTGGTCAAGGAAGGTTTCTCTGAGGGAGACCATATAAACCTCAGCTTTCAAGATGAAAAGGAGGCTACTAAATGAAGAGAATGGAATAACTTGGATAGAGTAGACTGATTCCTGAAGTTGTTGATAATAAGAAGGAGTTAGGCAGGTCTGGGAATTGTTTGGGAGCTAGTAAGTAGAGTGAGGAGGGTAGTGGCAGAGTGAAATGAGGGAAATGAAATGAAAAGGTAAACAGCCAAGCTGGCCATTGTAAGCTGTTTCCAGTTCACTGAAAATGGACAGCATTGGAATGGTTTGTTTTGTTTTCAAATTTTATTAATTATCTATATTTATTTAGAGTCTTTGTTGGTGAGCATGGGCTTTCTCTAGTTGCAGCAAGTAGCTGGGCTGGTCCCTAGTTACAGTGCATGGGCTTCTCATTTCAGTGACTTCTCATTTTGTGCAGCTTGGGCTCTAGGGCCCTTGGGCTTCAGTAGTTTGATACACAGGCTTAGTTGCCCTGAGGCATGTGGAATCTTCCCGGACCAGGGATGGAACCCATGTCCCTTGCATTTGCAGGAGGATTGTTAATCCCTGGTCCACCAGGAAAGTCCACCATTGAAGTATTTTAAGCAGAGGGAGAGACATATATCTTAATTTTCCTTAAAGGTAATAGTTTTGTTTGACAGGGATAGAAAAACAGTAAGGAACCTCACGTACTAGCATGGAAATAGTACATGGAGGAAGAATTGACTTTATTTGGGTAGAAACCAAGACAATACTGTAAAGCAATTATCCTTCAATTAAAAATAAATAATTAAAAAAAATTTGATTTTAGTGACAACTCTCAAACTCACTTCTCTAGACCAAACCTGTTCTCTGATTCCAAACTTAAACATTCAGTTGCTTACTTAACACTTCCGCTTAATGTCCCATAGGCATCCATTCTCCTTCATTGAAATGGCATCCACCCAGTTCCTCAAGTCAGAAACCTGGACTCCATCTCTTCTCTTCTCCTTCCTGAACCCGAGTCTATCCCTCCTCCTGATCCTGTCTGCCACACCTGATGTTTTGGCCTGTTGTCCTCTTAATTTATTTTCACTGCCACCATTCTATTTCAGGGGACCATCTTTCTTGGAAGAATCATCATTTTGAGATTGGCAGATAAAATAGTGGTGCCTTATGACTTTTCTATGTTAGGCTAACAAAGTTCTTTCCTGAGAATGTTAAGTGGCTTCTTTCTACATTTCCAGGGTGTATTTGCTCATGAATTACCAAACTGAGTCATCTGTTCCCCATAATCTGGTTTCTCTTGTGGTGGCACACTCTTAAATTCCCAAGAAATCCCCTTTTTATTCAAGCAGAATAATCTTGATAATAATAGATGTCCATAAACCTCCATTTCCTTACCTTTAAATTTTATGCCATATTTAATGACCTTTTACTTCCTGTCAGTGTTGTATTGCTAGTTTAAAAGTAAAAGATGATTATAAGAACTTCCTGCTTTTTTGAGGAGGTGCTAGTAATCTATGAAGTGTGTTATGGGAGCATAACATAAGGAGGAAACAAAAATTTGAAAAACTGGGAGCATGATTATAATGTAATTCAAATATAAGGACAGAAAGACAGATTGTAACCCATACTACAAAAGACCTTAAGAGGTTTTTATTTATATTAAAATGGATTGTTACTATCATGGAAGATTTTTAAGCAACAAAAAGTCACAAAGTTTAGATGTTAGTTTGGAAGATTATGTTAAGAGAAAACCAGAGGTAGGCGACCAGTTAGTAGCCTGTTGTAATTGACGATGTGAGGCCTAAACCAGAGAGAAAGCATTCACTTTTGGACAGATAAATTATTGAACATGGTGACCAGTATGCAGTTGATGGTGTGGGGTTTCTTTGTTGCACTAGATTGGTTCAGTTTTGAAGAGGATTACCAAAAACAATGGATTTTTACTATGTGTGACATTGTGTGGCCTTCTAGTCACAATGTAGGTCATAGTCATGTACACTTGGGGATTTTTTTTCCCCTCTAGATCAAGTGTTGCAGTTTAGTCCCTTCCTTGTTTCCCTCCCTCTCCCCTTCCTTCTCTTTTTTGAACTGGGTGTTTAAAAGGAATGAATTCTAAATTACTAAAGAACGGTCAGTGCCTTGCCTTCAACTAAACTAACAGTATTAACTTGGGTTGCTTCTCTTTTTCATTAGGTCTGTGTAAAACAAAGTTTACCTTGAAATTCCATCTCTAAAATTCTCTTACCTTCAAAGTATATTAGCTTTATACCATTATACAGAAAGAACTGAATTATTTTTTGTAGATGTGTAAGTGTATTCCTTTGGCATGTGTTAGGCTAGGTGAATACCTCAAAATCATTATGTGACAGCAGCTAATAG